AGTGTGTCTGAGGTGAGCCTTAAAATACATCCACAGGTGGCCTCCAGGTAACTCAGGTGTTGTCATCATGGAGAATCAGTTATGAGGCTAAATCAGTCATTTCTGGCTGCATCTCGCTCACCCTCTGACTGAACCACGATAACGATCTCCATAATCATCACCACCTTCCTCCCACTGCTCCTGTCGCTCCGTCCTCCTCCTCTGTTGTTCCTCTGTGACCTTTAGTCTGAGCGTCCTTCAGAAACCATCAGACACACATCTCGTTTTTATACCGCCTGAATCAGGGATGCATCATCAACCATCACAGCTGGATCAGCCCCAATAAACACGCTGATGTCATTAAACATGTGTGTGTTGTTTCTAAACATGTGTGTGTGTGTCACCTGTCCGTCGGCGCTGAAGGCCAGGCAGGCGATGCCGTGTGTGTGTCCGTCGCGCAGCAGGGAGACGGTCTGGACGGTGAACGAGTCCCAGACGCAGACGTACGGGTCCTTGCCGACCTGACCGGTGGCCACCAGGGAGCGCTCCGGGTGCAGCGCCAGGCTGGGGGAGGAGACACAGACAGACAGTCACATGTTTAAACCGTTAAACCATCTGACCAATCAGGAGCCGGCGCTCGTTGTGTAATTAACCAAACAGGAAGTCTTTAGGTTCACCATGATGCAGAAAAACCAGACGACTGATCCTGATTCACACTTTAAACTTCTTCACACACGAGTTCAGTCCAGTGGTTCAGACTCTGGACGCCTCGTAAAGTTCTACTTCCAATCCCTGATCAATATGATTATAGATCAGCTGAACCTGTTTGGACCTGAGAGTCTCCGTCCAGCAGCAGAACCAGACGAAAATGAACTCTGATTTATCTCCAAACCTCTCGATGGTTTTAAACTTCTTTTGGCAAAAAAACATCTTTCACATCTGTTTAATTTATTTATTTGTTATTTTACTGTTGACATATTGTTGTTTTGTTGTTGTTTTGTTGTTGTTTATGGTCATTTTACTGTTCTATCATTATTTTTTTGTCATTTTCTATTTCTATGGTTGTTTAACTGATTCCTTATTTTAATTGTTTGGTGTTTTTTTGCTGCGTTGCTCATGTTTTTTTGTCTCTAATCCTTCTGAAAAACACTTTTTAAAATTATTTAATTCTAATCAAATTAAGATTGTTTAAAAACAAACACAAGCAGCCAAACATGTCAGCTTTCATACTTTCATGCGGCCTTATCGACACGTGTCGTCTCTGTTTAGATCATTATTTATAACATGAAGACTAAATCAGACTCCAGAGAGCTGAACCTGATCTAATCCTGTTGCTATTATTATTATTTCTTGTCACAGATTCTGTGATCAATCAGTTTTATTTATAATAATCGGTTTTATTTTCGGAGCCGCTTTGGAATAAAAATAGACGTTCTTATTCCTGCTTCACGTCTGTTAGGATGAAACATGACATTTCTATAAATAATCAGAGCCGAGCAGGACGAGGAATAAATAGATCTGATCCTCTCAAATTAACTTTTATGTACAAAACCAACTTTTTATAGAGCCGCCTGCTGCCCTCTGTCTCTGCTCTCCTTCACAAAGGCAGCTATAAATACAGCTTAATGGCATCGTTATTAACACACAGTCTGCTGTGTTGACGGACTGATGATCCCTGATGCTGTGATGTTTGTCCTCTGATCCGACTCAACAGAAAGCACATCAGGTTCGACTGCATTAGCTCCACTTCAAACAGAGCTGGAAGCTGCACAAGTTATGCATAAAACAGACTCGTTTCCACTGCTGCTGGGTACACGGCATGATTTCTGTGATTTCCTTTACATTAATCGAGACGTTTACTTCATAAAGAAACGGCACAAACTCAGCAGAGAGCAGCAGATGAAGTGTTTGACGCTCAGAGTTTCCTGGAGGAGGATGCACTTAATGTGACTCCACCAACGTTCAAACCAAACCTACTCCTGTGTACATGCAGGAAATACTAATTCTACAATCTGTACCACATTCAGCGTCTCTCCTTCTTTCTGACTAACTTTAAAGGATCTCGTAAACTTTTCTGGGCGACCTTGCCTCTCAGGAATCCACAGATTTGTTGCACGTCTTCCCTGTTTCTCAGAATATTTCCTCTCTTCTCCTGCTGCTGCCACAAAAAATCCAAAAAAATCCCCCAAAAAAGAAATCTATAAAGGAAAGGTTTAGTATTTCCAACACGTCCTCACATCTAAGGCAGCGCTGCTCGTGTTGAAGTCTTCAATGTCATTCACCGTTGACGCTCCGTTTTGGTGTTATTGGATCCCGGCGCTGCAGTTTCAACAGACACCACGTGTTAATGTCAGAAAACTGGGTGGAACTAAACTGGTTTGAATCTTAACACTGTCCACGTAAAGTACGACAACACTGTTAATAATAATAAGCAGACAAAACGAACCAGTGGAGTTCCCCAGGGCTCCATTCTGGGGCCTCTTCTGTTCAATATCAACATGATTCCAGCAGCTCAGATTATGGAAAACAACGACATTCACATTTCATTCATACATCAACAATTAGACGTGTCAGAACTGTCTTCACTCACATGAAGACAAAACTGAATTCATTGTTTTTAGAGCTAAGAACAGACGATTGAAAGTCAGCAATCAGCTTCGATCGGTTCTGTTAAAACCACGAGTCACAAATGTTGGTCACCAAAGAGAAAGAATACATAAAACACTTACTGCTGAAGACTTTTCTGTTTGTTTCTGCCTTTAATTTGCTTTTTATTCTCTATTCAACTCTTTTAATTGTGTCAAAACGTCTATTTTATATCGTTTTATGCCTCTTTTGGTGCTTTTTATCTTCTGTGTAAAGCACATTTAAATTTCCTTGTTATTAAACCGTGTTATATGAATAAACTTGCCTTCCTTTGCTTTAGTGATGGAGTACAAACAACAAGTCGAGGCTTTAAAGTGCAGCCGTTTGGTTGGTTTGTGTGACCAAGAATCAGTTTTCATTGGTGGCAGCAGTGATGTGGAGCAGGTCTGTCTGTCTAATGTTGTCTTTTAAACCCACATCCTGTGTTTCATCACATGTCCGTCAGTCATTCGTTCCTCTGTAGCTGCTAACTGGATCACAGAATCACATCCTGTGGTTTGGGTTTCAGCTTCAGCTTCAGGACATTTGGTTTAACCGCTGACCGCTGACATGATGGTTTAAAAAGTGTTTTTCCCTGTTTCAGCGTCCTTTATGCTCTTTATTGTCGTTATCACGTTCTGCTAACGGTGTTGGTTTTAATTTGCCAGCTTCAGCGTTCTGTCACACCGCGTTATCCCGCCTCAGCTGATGGGTCAGCTGCAAACCCTGTTGACGTCTGAACAGAACCGTGCAGGGCGTCGGGTCGGCGCCGGTTCAGAGAGGAGGAGGCAGATTGTTTCATGTCGGAGGCCAGCAGCGCCCTTACTTTATTATTTTAAGTTATTTTATTAACTTGAACTGAATTCTGGAACTCATTTTAACAGTTTTTACGTTTATAATCGTGTATCTATACATGTGATTAATATGAAACAATATATTGATTATTTTACTAATAACGAGAGCTACGGATGGAAACTGGCTTTAAGCTAAATCTGGTGTATTTACACAAAGTCATTGTGCTGTTTGTGTTCATTAAGATGCATGGCCCTCGTCCAAACACATGAAATAAAACTGTGGACAGCTTGGTACAGGCTGATCTTTATTTTTACCTCACTGGAACATTAACGTTTTTCTTTAACGTTTCTAACCGTAGTTTTCTAAACAACTTAATGTTCAACAGATGTTTCCAGTTTTGTTAAATTACAGATAAAAACTAGTAAATTTACAGAATAAAAGGTATTTAATTATATGCTAATGGTTAAAAAACAAACACACACAAAAAACAGTACGATAGTCATCTGTCCTTACTGTAAAGGTAGTTGCTGTTGTTTGAAAGAAAAACCAAATATTTTAAAGGTGACTAACAGTAAATCACCCTGAAGGTGATGAAGCATCACAGGAGACTCTCTGCCCACCTGCTCTGGTCTCTTCAATATTAAACAGTGAGAACAAGCAGCTCCTAAAGCTCATATAAATGTGTATTATCTTGTAAAATAATATGACACTGGGACTCGGTATCAGCAGACAGGAGCATCCTCGGTTCCAACCGTCACAGGAGGGTTAGGGTTAGGGTTAGGGGAGGAGGCCAGATTTAAATCCTTTGGTTTGTGCAGACTGAACTTTTTGGTCACACCTTGTAAAGACAAACAGGTCCATCAGTCCACCAACATAAGCCTCACATGTCTGCACTCTGCTCTGTTGTTGCTCGTTTTCAATTTGCATAAGAACATTTTTAAAAACCCCACGAAGCCTCAGACCCGCCTCCCGTCCCCCGGGACGATCGTAGCGCCGATCCAGATCAGATCGGGACCGGGACGCCCCTGATGTCATGAGTCACGCAGTTAATACGACGAACATTATGATTTACTGGAACTGCAGAACCAGGCTGTGTGTGTGTGTGTGTGTGTGTGTGTGGTCAGGTGTGTAAAACATGGAGCGACTGTGTCTGAAATATTAGAAGCAGCACCGGAGCAGAAATAGAACAGGTGTGTCAGCCACGAAGCCCCATTGATCCCAGAGATGTTGTCTGCGCGCGCACACACACACACACACACACACACACACAC